TTGCTTCTTCTTCTTCTTCCTCTGTTTCTCCTTTCTCCTCCTCCTTCATCTCCAGCCAACTTTCCAGACTCAGTGGTGGACAACCTTCCAGCAGATATCAGCACAGGGATCTACTATGGTTGGGCATGTGTGGGCAATGGTGACATCTACAAAATGGTGATGAGCATTGGCTGGAACCCTTACTACAAAAATACCAAGAAGTCCATGGTGTGTAGAAGAAAAGGGATGTTCACTGCAAACTGTTTAGTGTTTTTCTTAGAAAAAAGTGTGCACATTGAAAACCAGTCCACATATCAAAGTGGCCTTGTGCAAAACACCAGGTTGTTCCCAGTGGCCAGGCCAGCGCTTTGCATGGCAGCTCCGCCTCCATGTGTGTGCGTGCGTGTGTGTGAGTGATTGTGTCAGCAATTGTAAAGTGCTTTGTCCAGTAAGGTAGAAAAGCACTATATAAGTGTGGTCCACATGGTTTCTTACCAAAATGTGGTGTCCATTAGAAAATGTTAGAAAATTAAAAATGATTTAAGAAAGTAATGACTGCAGTCAGCAGTGTAGCACACTTGTTGTGAGTACAGTTACCAAACACATGTTTGGCATAAAGGTCTTAGTCCTTAAACTCCTCATCTTTTTAATACTGTTTTCAGCATGGTCATCTTTTTAAACTGTTAAATAGAAGTCTGTATTAAACACACACTCCAGACACAGACATTTTTCATTATGTATTTTGAAACTCCTTCTGCTTTGATAACACAATAAGATCAGTGTAGTAGATGTTCATGTTCTCTTTGAAAATAAGCGTAAAGGGTTGTTGTTGGGTTTTTTTTGGTTCTAGGAGACCCACGTGATTCACAAATTCAAAGAGGACTTTTACGGGGAGATTCTCAGTGTTGTCATGGTGGGATACATCCGTCCAGAGAGAACCTACGACACACTTGGTATGACACCTCTCTCTCTCTCTCTCTCTCTCTCTCTCTCTCTCTCTCGCTCTCTCGCTCTCTCATTTCAGGAAGCTCTATTGGCATGACCATTTACATATACAGTATTACCAAAGCATTACTATTACAAATATATAAACACATTTGCAAGCATCACAGTTGATTTAAAAAAGAAATTATTTGTATCATCAGATAAGTAAGATTTTCTAAGTAAGATATTAATGAAAAACAAAACTATAGAAAAATAGTAATAAACTACAGTTTTAATCAACAATAATATAGAAAAACAAGACAGTGGCAGAGAAATCTCTTTATTTGGGTTAGTAATAAGGTGTATGACACAGCGAACTCTGAGGAGATGAACTACAGATATAACATGTTGTGCTGGTTGCCCCTTAGGTTTTGACATGTATAGACATATTTTGCAGCTAATATGCCATTGAAACTGTTTTCTCCCAGTGGATGTTGTAATTTGATTTGGTCAGGGAGTGACTCAGACTCTGGAATTTTAGATATAATTTGTGTGAAGAACTTTGTTCTTATATGTTCATCAGTGTTACAGTCGTAAAAAAAATGTCGCTCTGTCTCCATCAATCTTTGTGGACAGAGCTGACATAGTCCGTCTTCTTTAGGCCTCCAGGTCTGCTGTAGCGGCGGGTCTCAGTGGTCAGGCTATGATCACTGAGTCTTTACTTTATCGATGTCTTCCTCAGTTTCTGGTCAGTCACGGTGGTCAGATAGTCTGTCACCATGTGCTGTCTGCTTAGAGCCAAATAGCAATGGTTTATTTCGAGGGTTTTTTTTGTTAGCTGTCTAAAAGTTGATGTAATTTTCTTTTTGTTTAGTTGTAATTTGGTTGGTCCCAACGGTGTGAGGCCTGTCGTGGGGCATGGTACTGTTAGAGGTGAGACCCAGGACCAGAAGGATGAGGGGATGCCTCTGTTCTCCTTGGCAGTGAGGGGCTCTGTATTGGTAGGAGTCGGGCTGACCTGTTTTTTGGTCTGTATAGAATTTGATTGCTGGTCCCTGATGCACTAGTGGCTAGGATTCAGTACTCTCACCGCTGCAGCCCGGGTTCAATTCAGGGTTGCGTCAGGAAAGGCATCCGGCGTAAAACGCGTGTCAAATTTCAACATGTAAATCTTCAGTGTGACGAGCCCTAACGGGAACAGCCGAAGGTGACTGACAGATAGAATGTGACTGCTCCTTTTTGAATTTGACTTCAGCTTCACCACCACGGCTTACGACTTGTAATTTTATTTGGTGCTCTTACCTTTTCACCAAAATCCTTTCTTCTTAGTATGACCTGATTTAGCGTGTAATATCCCAGACAGGCTCTGTAGTCTCATTTAGCCACTTGATAGCAACCGCCTTTTTAAAAACACGTAAAAGCATTAAAAATCACACGTTTGGTATTTTCTAATTCATTTTATGTCAAGGAACATAACATTAAAATGTATTGGACTTGTGTTAAAGACAGGACTTGTTTCTTTTTTCTTATCTCTTATTTTTAACCAACCCCAGACTCCAGTGCAGGGAACTGGAAGTGCAGAAATGCTGACTCAGTTGCGGGTTTTAAGACTCACTACTACAGTACGCTATAGTAAAATTGGTTTGATAATTGATTTGAATATTTTGAGCCAGATTCTAATAGGTAAGATTGTTTTATGGCATAGAAAGCCCTTCTCCCCTTGTCTCAGAGTTCATTGACAGCCAGATTGAAATTTCCTGTGGAGTTCATTTTTAGTTCCAGATAAGTGTAGTTGTGTGTGTGTGTTCTATATCAGTGGAACCCAGTGAAAACCTCTTTTGGTTTTCCTGCCACCTGGTTTGTTTTTGGAAAACCAAATTAACTGTTCAGGGCTCAGGTCTGATAGAATTTTGCAGAAGATCCATTTGTTGTTATAATGCCTCTTCAGATGGGGCTAGCAAAATAAGATCATCCACAAATAGTATTAATTTGTGTGTCAGAAAGAGTGAGACCAGGGATAACTGATTGTTCCAGTGATTTTTGCCAGCTCATCAATATAAATGTTAAACAGGGTGGGGCTGAGACTGTTCATTTGTGTGTGAGACCTGTCTCACACACTCTCTCCCACCTCACTCACTTGTTTTCTGTATGTCTTTACCCCTGTCCTAACAGAAGACCTCATTGCTGCCATTAACAAAGACATTGAGGAGGCCAAGGTCAAGCTGGAGCTCCCAGACAATCTCAAACTGAGAAATGATAACTTCTTCACCAGTGCACCAACCCTGCCCACCACCACAGCAGTTGTGTCACATACTGTTATAAATGGTCACTGACAGCAATACTGAGCGCACACTCGGACACCACAACAATGCAGAAATTTTCCATATGAACACAGGTTTGTTAACTTGTCCTTATCAAAATGCACAGCCTTGTTGGGAGATGTTTTAGCTGCGGCCACTGCTGTGCATAGACAACCAATCTTTTGTTTTGTCAACCAGTCTCTTTCTTTGGCAGTGTTTGTTTAAAGAGCTATTTGACTTCATCAGCCAGTTATTTAACAGATTATGTTAATTTGTATATATTCACACCATATTGCCTCATCTACCATTTTAATTGTAAGAAGCTTTTGGGTCTCACTGGTCCTGCTGTATTTTTGGAGTGAAGGTAGCTAGATCGTAGGATGAGGGTGACCAGAAAATACAAGTAATCTTCATTCATTTATTCATTTTCTACCGCTTAGTCACCGTGCTGTCCAGAAGTAATCTTTTTTTTACTAATTTGTATATAAAGAACCACAAAAATATAGACCATAAACTGAATCCATCAATCCATCCATTTTCCTCCGCTTATCCGGAACCGGGTCGCGGGGGCAGCAGTCTAAGCAAAGATGCCCAGACTTCCCTCTCTCCAGACACTTCCTCCAGCTCCTCCGGGGGAATGCCGCGGTGTTCCCAGGCCAGCCGAGAGACATAGTCCCTCCAGCGTGTCCTGGGTCTTCCCCGGGGCCTCCTAAACTGAATCCAGGGTTGAAGAAACATCACTTGTTTAGTACATTTCAGCTGAGTTTTGTTTCTGTGCCAGGTGGTTAAAGAGAAAGTCTGGGCATTGTTATCAGTTACAAAACCACAGGTCGCACAGTTAGATGACTTTATGCAGCGTTGCCCATACACAGCATTGCCCATACTTATTTACAGTGAGCTGCCACGATATCAAGATTGACCGCCGCATATGGATTTAAAACAGGTTAAATCTTATTTCAATACAGTTCCATGCATAGCACATATATTCGCTCAGTCCCTCTGTGCCCCTCTCTTAATTTTCTCTCATACACAAACGCGTGATAACGGGCCGTCTGTCAACAGCTCCTCCTCTCCATGTTTGGTTTTTAACACAATGTTGTCAATCGCGGAGATCCAGCTCTTCTAATATGCTAATAGCAAGCTAAATTAATGTTAGAATACAGCTGTTGCTGAGGTTAGTATGCTGTATATAGTATGGACACACGTGTTCTACAAGAGATAAAGTTTACGCTGATTCTTTAACTCTGACCCATTCTTACATGTTGTAAACAGGTTTACCTTTTAGATTCCAGTAGCACAGTCTTCACATGTGAATGTCTTTCTGTATTAGCTTGTTGGGTTAATAGAGAACTAAATGATCTGAGGAACACTAAGACTGAATTAACAAGCAAGTTCTTATGCATGCTTACCTGACATTCAGACCCAAACTCCTCCAGCCTCTGGGTTTGTTAGAGATGACCTATCACCTATCAAAGTTTTACATTTATAGGTGATATGGATGGAAAGTCCAGAGCTCCTGCTCTCCTGCTCTCCTGCTCCCCTGCTCTGATATTTACAGAGGGCAGCGGCGTTTGAAGTGTGTGAACATAAGTTTATGTATTAGGTGTAAGCAAACATCTTTACATTTAGGTTTACATTTATAGGTGATATGGATGGAAAGTCCAGAGCTCCTGCTCCCCTGCTCTGATATTTACAAAGGGCAGCGGCGTTTGAAGAGTGTGAACATAAGTTTATACTATAGAAGTATGAACGGATGATCACGCACAAGTCTGAACAGAAAAACCCACCATACACATTTTTGATATCTATATATATATATATTACAGTTAAATTATTTCAAGGTCTTTCAGATTTGAATAAATGTATTAAACTGATGACAGAATACTGAGTAGTTTTTTTGCAGGTCTCTGTGAAATGATATGAAACTCAAACATGTAATTATAAGTGTGTACAGTTGTTTGAACATAATTGTAAATTGTTTTAAAAATGTACAGCTAGCTGTGTTTTTTTTTTTAAATATGTAATTAAAGTATAATTGAAGGAGTAAAACCTGCCTGTATTATGTGAATGTTGTTGCTACCTTTCTGTCTGGTTTTTGTACATTTCCTTTTAATTTTTTTTTAGTACTAAAGCTTGCAAAATATCAGTGAAGGACAAAAACTGGAAGCAGGACTTTGCTTTAATTTTGTTGACAAATTAACTGCAAAGCTTTTCATTAATGTAGAGAACTATATTCATCCTCTGAAGCACCTAATGTACACAACATCTTATTGTAACTTAAGTTGAAATGTGCTGCTACTTCAAACCTGCCAAATATTTTAACATACTTCTAACATTTTTATTACTACTTTGGGGCCAAATGTTTTCCCACCTGATCACAATTATTTGTTTTAGTTTACGCAGGGGCCATAGTTACTGCATGCAGAGTTCAAGTTTTAACACCTGTTTTATGCTTCATTCATGTGTTTTACACAACTCAATCAAATAAATAATTTGATCAATATACACAAACATTGGTTCGCTTTAAACTCATATATTAAGGTGATAGAAACAGAATTTTTCCAAAAATTCCATAAGCATAAAACTATGAATCAGTTGATAATATACAATTACATGTACCAACGTATAGGGGCATTGGTATGGGAGCTCAGTTTATCTATTATTTGTTCCCAGAGAGGAAGGTGTCAGGCCATTCCATCATAAATCTTCAGAGCCCCACATTATGTAAACTCTTAACCTTTTCTTAAAACAAAGCATCCCTGAACCCTCTCCTCACCCAAGCAAAGAGTAGTTATGTGGCTTGACACAGCATCTTGTAGAAAGAAATTCTTGATAAAATAATATAGTGCTATGTTATGCATTTACAAAACTGTTTAAAAGATTGTTTAATCTGCTTGACCTTTATAATGGCTTGACCTGTGCAATAGAAATGCTGTGTGTGAGGACGTGTCAAAGTGCAGGGATTCAGAACAACAGGAAGTTGCACAGATGCAGATTGAGATGACTAAACTGCAAGAAGAGTGTGAGTGGGTATAAGGCCTTATTGTTTTGGCTTTAAATTATCAACATTTATCAACATTATATGAAATGCTTGGCCTTCTATGATTGACAGTATAATCTGCATTAGCAAATACAGTGGGTACGGAAAGTATTCAGACCCCCTTAAATTTTTCACTCTTTGTTATATTGCAGCCATATGCTAAAATCATTTAAGTTCATTTTTTTTCCTAATTAATGTACACACAGCACCCCATATTGACAGAAAAACACAGAATTTTTGACATTTTTGCAGATTCATTAAAAAAGAAAAACTGAAATATCACATGGTCATAAGTATTCAGACCCTTTGCTGTGACACTCATATATTTAACTTAGGTGC